CTTAAGACGTAAGCGAATTGACCAATCACGGTCGAACAGTAAGGCAGCCATATTAAAACGTAAGCTACGCTGAAAATTCCGTATGGTTGAAATTCTTAAGTCTTAAGTCTTACTGCTTAAGTTTTCTATGTGCCACGGCCCTTAGTCCTTGGCTTGGCCATTTGAGTCCTGGCGGCGCTGAGATCTTGGATCGCACAATGGCTGTCCATTAGCAGGTATATAGCCAAAGATTTAATCATAGATTTATAAAATCATAGACATGTAAAATACATAGACATAAAATCCGTTGTGCTCTAACGCACAAGGAAATATAACGGCCAGAAAAAGAATAAGCATAGTTGAAAACAACAAATGCAGTTTTAATACAAATTCCAAGATTAAAAAGAAAATTAATTATCCACGTAATATGACAATACTACGTGGACAATATTAGAGAGAAGAGAGAGATTCTGTATTTTAAGTTACTTAAAGATATTTTCAGTTGATCGAAACAATATTCCATATGTATAATTACTTTACCCTACAAAAGATTATTCCATATTTGCACCGTTTGATTGAAGTTTAAAAATTACTTTAGCTATAAATATCGTATAGCCAGCATACGATAGCAAGCGAAACAAATTTCAATTAATTATTAATTATTAATTTGATCGAACTCCGGCTAAATTTCCGGTTGATCCGCGTTTCTTTTATTTCGCCATTATTTGTCAACATTAGTCGCTTTCCATTTACATCAAAACTCAGATAATTCTCACTTGCGTTCTCTCTCGCTCGCACGTAGCATACATGTAAATGGAAAGCAACAATTATGTTATATGGAAGCGAATCCTTTGGAATCAAAAGGGAGATCTTAGAGATCTTTGGAAATGATAATAAAATTATAACATATATGTGCGCAGTAAACAAAAAATTTAAATTACTAAATATTAAACATAATGCGTATAATAGTTACATAACTTGATTTTTACACTTTTATTCAAATTAAAAAATTTTTTTTCCATACAGCGTGTTAAACAATACTATTTTGCCTGATGCAATAATCGATGAATCTTTCCAAAGTGGAACCTAAAAAAATGGAAACTAAAGGAAATGTGTTGCGCCTTGAGATTGCATAATTCTAAATCACCAATTCGTTATTGCGAGGAGTTTAGTGATGCGGTGACGATGCGAAGAGAAAGAGAGACGGAGTAATAGAGAAAGAGCGAGAACGCATAGTCAGCCGGCCGGCAGGGGAAGAACTACGACGTAGTGGACTATCGACCCGGTTTTCGTCAGTTCGATGCCTGCGCCTGTCTCCGAGAACCCTTCCTACCACCTCTGTAGGCCGTCTTGCTGACGACGCGTTGCTCTACGCAAGGCTGTGTTCCGATTCCCCACCCGGGTGCATCCGATATTATAGTATACGTGACATATACTATAATATCGAGTACACCCGGGTGGGGGGGAATCGGAACACAGCACAATGTCGATGCGGCGACATTGGGACCAGTAGTGCGTCTCACGGTTTAGTTATCGCTCTGCCCTCCGTCTCGTCGTAACGACTATTTGTACGTATCCGGAGTGTCACCTGGGTGCTCATAGGCATATATACGCACTAACACATACACAGAGATACTCTAATGTACAAACGTCATTAATACATATTAGATCCATTTCTACCTTAATTTGTCTCTTTGTCCTTCTCTTTAGCTATATTATTTTCTTTATCTCTCTTACATCATTATAACATGCTCATACGGATATGTAAACACGAATCACTATCGGTCACTCGCTCATAGCTCACCGACACTGTAGATATGATTGGACTAGTAGTGTCTATACTACCGTTTCGCGATCGCCGTTTTTATCTATAACTTTTACGCAAGAAAATTTAATTAAACGGGATTAGTGTTAACCGATACGTCGGCCATCGCACTTGATACCGGTGTCTTTTCTTCTTCAAAGGCTCCTTTCCAAAGATACTTATATAGGTGCATACACATATATACACATATAAGTGTGTAGAGAAGACGAGCTAGGCAATTGACAAGGTGTCGAAGATACTCTGGCTAGATCGACAACTGATATATTGAAATAAATGAAGAGAATAAGTAATAGAGAGAAAAAGAGAGAATTTATGATGAAAAGAAAGAAGTTTTGTGTGACAAACAGGAAGTTTGTCAGAATGAAGATGAGGAAGTGGTAAAACCGGAAAGTGGTCGACTTCACTAGTCTTTGGTCTATCTCTTTTTTGTCCTATCTTTTTCTCATTAGCAAATTATCTAAAAAGACTTGGACAATTAGTTCTATGACATTCTTTTTTTTAAACTTAATTTGAAATATGACTTGTTACACAAATACCAACTGATCTATTCATCAGTTTGGATTCTCCGAAGATGTCACGATAATTTGTTCTGATTCACTTCTTATTTTGCCTAGTCCGATTTATTTATAGTTCATTTACACGTATCTTACAAGAAGATCTTTGCTTTATCGTTTTTATCGTTTCGTACTCTCATTATTGCTGCACCAAATACAGATCATTTTAAATACGTTGAAATGCAGCTCGATTATAATCCTAAATCGTTCATTCCGCGATTTTTATCTGTCTGGTAAAAATCTATCGAATGATTGTATGTGCGCAGATATGGGTACTGCATCTTATTACGTACATCACACTCGCGCATGCGCGCACGCACACATCGGTGATATACATATACTTTCTCTCACACAGACAGTTCCTCCTTTTTCGTTCTATATACAGGATGGCCCAATAGAACACTTAAATAAATAAAACATCTGAATATCCTTAAATCATATATAATATATATACAGGGTGTCCCACCAAAAGTGGCCACCACCTTTTGTCTTTTAAATTAAAAGAGATAGACCATAACAAATATATGTATATGAAATTAAATGTTTCAAATTGAACTCTATTGTGAACATAGTGGTTGCTTCCAAAAGCTATCTATGTTAACGAACGGAGAGGTATGCATAATTTTTTTATAATAATGTGAATATTTCGATGTGATAAAAGTTGTAGCACTGTTTGAAACGAATATAACGATGTATGATATAATGTAAATATTTTATATATTATACATGTTTTATCAACTTGAAATATCGCG